CTTGATTTCAGCAAAATAAAGACAGGTTTCTGATTCTCATGAAAAATAATTTAAGGAAAGGAAAAAGTAATCCCTCAGGCATTATCTCTCTGATCCTGCTATAATCTGCAATGTTCATACAGTTCCACGTACTATTTATTGTGCATTACTCTATTGCAGCATTTAAATTATTCTCATTTGAATATTTCCACAGACCCAGCACTTCTCGTGACAAATGTCTTAATTTTAAAAGCCGGTCTGCATGGCAGGCCCCATTTCTACTCAACGGAGGAACGAACTCCCTAGCTGAAGCTGTTTTCACCAACAATTTGTTTGCCAGCAGCATGTTTTCCCGTTTAATTCGTGTTAACATTTTGTTCAGCGTTATCCTAACTGGCATGTATTCTATCTGATAAACATCTCCTCTTTTCCCTCACAAAAACATTATTTATTTATGACGTTATTGTTACAGACAACTAAACAGCCAAGAGGGAAACATATTGCTTTTCCACAAATACCTGCACATGCTGTTAAATCCGAGTCATTTTTCTTATAGAAATATCTAAAACTTGGTAAAAGGCTTCCTAGGGCGTCTTTGGTATCCACCGGGACGGAGGAACAGGGACAGACACCTGCCACAGTGCAAAATCAGCAAGCGTTACGGAAAACAATGACTTGTTAAGGCTGATATATTATGAAACTTTCTCTTTCTCAGCCCAATTTGTCATGACTCCACCACTAAACGGGCTCATTATAAGATGACTCAAATCTAGAGCTGAAACTATAGGACAGTGGCATCTATAATCTGTTTAATTTTTCCACAAGTTTAAGATTGTACTGGGGAGGGAGGGCAAAGGGAAGACAGAGCAAACTTTCATTTTCTCTCATGTGTCCCTGCATTAAATTTCATTTGCAAGGTTTCTGCTGGGAAGCCTCACTTGGACAACCTGTATTCTCTGTTTCTCTACTTCACCTCTCCTAAATTGCCTGGTACTCATGAACGCTACCTGTTCAACAACAGGCACTCATTTCATCCACCCAGAGAACGTCCTGTTGGGGGAAAACGTGGACGACACTAGCTTGAAAACTTAGAGGGAGCAGCTTTTCTTACACATTCGCAGGATGCTAGTCACTCATTTTGTCAGCCTTACGTTAGGCCTTGAGCCTAAAATAGATATTTAGCACCCAGAATGGTGAAGGAACATTTTCTCAGGGAAAAAAAGAGGAACAGTCCCCTCTCCGTTTTCATTCATGTTCTCTGTATTTTTGCCCACACAGGAGAAAGCCGCTGCATTATTGGGAAACCCGGCCCTCAGCAAACTCACTGCCTGCTAACACCAAGCAGCTGCGTTCGAGGTCACAGAGCATCCCAGGTGGCTTCATCACTGAGGCCAAATTAAGAGGGAGTAGATAATATAAAGATAGATTACCAGGGTCCCCGAGAAGCAAATACCTCAAACATTCACTGTCACTTCATCAGTTAGTGATACATGCTGGAGCTTTTGCGACAGGAGTACTTACCCGTTTAGAAGAGGCCTCAGAGACCTACATCCGCTCCGTGAACGTCACCAGAGGCTGCAACTCATCATCAGTTGAAGTCACCACTCTGCACCGGATTGGGACAACAACTGCCCACATCCTCCAAAACCTCTTCAAAGATTGTGTCCACCCAGGGTCTGCACTTGCTATCAACATATAAAGGTTTTAGTGCGTGTCCCTGTGGGTTTTCCACTCCTATTTCTGTATAGGAGTCAGAGTCTCTTTGACTTTTAAAGTGCAAGCCTCTTTGGCGTGTGGATGGTTTTGTGCTGGGTGACACAGCTCAGGACCTAACACTTATCCCCAGCTATCAGCTGTGACGTATTTTTGAGTCTTCTCACAGTGGGCTCAAGATTTTTCAGGCACAAGAAGGATGGTCCCTGCCAAAAGGCTCAAGTCAAGGGAGCAAAGAGACAAAATTGGGGGAAATGGAATACGTTCCCTGTGGGCAGCAGGACAAAGGCAACCTTTAACGAGGGTCTAGACTCTAGGTATATTAGGCATATGAATAAGAAATATGTATTTATATGCACAGGAAATATGTGAGTGCATGCACACACGTGCTCACATGCTAATAGTATTTTCCAACTTAAGATTTCATAGTGCTTTCCAAATATTTCGGTTCAATTACTCAGAAACATATTTGCATATTATGTGACTATACACAAGTAATAATTGTGTTTTGAGTATCTACCCACCTGCTCATTTGCAAATTGCTTTTCAAGTTAAACCAACCTTATCTTCTGTACCTTTCCTCAACTAAAGGACATTTTCCAGACCATTATCTGCTCCTTCGCACAGAGGACTTGGAGACCTTCTGGAGTCCCTTACCAACAGAATCAGTATTTCATAGATGCAGTCCTTTGCAATGAAAAAGCAATACATCCAGGGAACATTAAATGCAAAAGTCACCGAACACTTTTCTGCACCTAAAACGATAGTCACAGCCTGTGAAGGCATGATGGCAGCAAGCGTAACATGAAACTCGGTGCAGGCCTAAACCTGAGCACCTGCCCTGGGCCTCTGGCAGGTTTGTGAGCTGACATCTCTTCCAGCCTGGGCTGGCACCTTCAGGACAGCTACCTACGTTAGCTAAAATAGGGAGAGAAAGGGACTTCCCTCTGCGTGGCCACAGATAGGGTAACAGGAATAATGGGTGTTGGTGGGTCAAAGGGGGAAACGGGTATATTTTTCAAAGCTATCACCAGCATCACTAACTGATGTGGAAAATGTTTAGATTAGCCCCTAATTAAAATTTTTGCTGCACACTACTGCTCTTGACTGCAGGTCAGGTTGCTGATTAATAAGCCTTGCCTGCCTGATGTTTCTCTGCTAAATTGGAAGAACTGTGAAACAGGGCTTGAAAAAGGAAAAAAACAAAAACCAGACTCACACCCCAAAAAAACCCCAAAACCCCAGCCTAGAAAAACGCATCCTGTTTCTAGTGCAGATCAGAACTATGTAACCTTCTTACAATAATGGTGTGCCAATTGGAAGGTTGCTTCAAAAGAAAAAAAACAATTTCACCTTGTGTTGGTTGCATCTCCAGAGTCACTATCTGTGTAACTTCCCTCCCACCGAAGTCACTGGGGCCACTAACTCAAAAAGGCAACAACAGGTCAGACTCCAAAATCCTTGCTCCCTGCATTCAGTGCACCAAACGTGGCTCTGTGCGGGCTTTCTACCTAATCGTGCCTTAGCGCAAAGCAGCAAGGGCTGAGAGTTTTTAATCATTCTAAGGAAAATGAGGGTCAAAATCTCTTTGGCTTTAGAGGGAACTGGCTGCTCGAGTCCTTTAGAGTCCTTTGAAAATCCAAGCTTTAATCATTATGCCCTTCCACATTTTCATTTTATTTATATTTTATAAAATATAGATATATATATATATCTTCTGTAATACGCACAGACGCGCACAGCCAGCCCCGGTGCCCTCATCTTCCACGTTCAGATTCGCCTGACACCTCGTGGCCACAGGAAACACAGCAGCACGTTAACCAAACGTGCATACTGTCAGGATGCACACAAGCGTGCTAATGCCGATATTATAATTTAAGCAAGCACAAAACAGTTCTTGAGCAATGGAAGATGCAATTATTTCACTTAATTAGACGCGGTGTGGTCTCAGTGCCGTGTGCCAGTGAGACAAGCTGATGCACAATTGTAAAGGCAAACTACAGTTACAAACAACGCAGAGCTTTAGTGACTGGGGCTACGGCAGATAACGTTTTGCTCAAAACCATACACCCACCTAATGTGAAATGAGAACGGCCAGGACATCTGCATTGTTCGTCTGATATTGT